TCAAACAAATAATCAACCATATTACATAGATTTGTTTCTCAAGCGAGTTGTGAACTTGCGGCTGTGTCCCGCCAATCTCCTACGAGGCTTACGAATTCCTGGAAACCGGAAGCGAATGGAAACGTAAAGCATCCGAACGAGTGGGTCGTCATATGGTTCAAAGATCGTTTTGATGACTGATGATATGTGTTGGGTGTTGAACTACGGAGGCGCTGCCGCCCCGTACTGACAGTACGCAACACTTTATCATGGGCCAATACTTAATATAGGCAACCGGCATACCTGGGTGATGGAGGGCGGCCAGACTTCTTTCCTTCTCTGCAGACGTTTTTTGTAACCTGCATTTTACACGCCAAGACCTTAGCTTTTTCGCGGGTGCCTTTGGCACGCCCTGAACTGGACAATGAGCGCAACAATGAACTCAACGTCGCTGTGAAGTGTTTCGTGAAATTACTATATCGCTACAGTCCTGCCGATCGGGGCATCCTGCTTTCATTTGCAGCACGTCAGTTCAATCCGCTTGAACGCGATTCAGTCTACGGCGAACACTCGTAAGATCGTGTGAGAGTAAACCTACTTACCCACATCCCATATTACGTGGACCTGGAGCAAGACCACAGCTATTCGATAAGCAGGTTTGACGGGGTAGATGAGTGTCGATGTCCAAACTCAAGTACCTGGTCGCCAAACTTTGAGAACCAACTATATTTTATTACAACTTGGAATGATTTGGTGTTTTACAACTGTGGATGCGTTTTTCCAAACCCATGTCGGTGCACCCGCGAAGGGCGCTACTTGTATGCTTAGCGTGCTTGATCTGTAGCTCATCTTCCTATACACCAACGATAGATAAGCTACCGATTTCCTTTGCCGGAAACCACAGGCGCCCGCCTTTGCCCCGACGATGCGGGATAAGCTGTTGGAGCTGGCGGTCGCAGCGCAATCGTTCGAGGCTGTGAAAGAGGGACATCATGCAAGGCCATCCCTTGACACCCCACATCATTTGACGACGTTTGCGGAGCAAGCCCTGCCCGGACAGAAGCGCAGCCGTTGCGTGATGGCCGACATCGCTCCTGCCAGCAGCCCTGATGAGCAGGACTTTGTCCCTCCGCACTCCAAGAAGCCTGCCGTTGAAGTGCAAGTAATGAGTCCTCCGACGAATCATTCTCAGATCACTTTGGAGCCAGTCGCGCATTCTCTGCTTCCAGGTCAAGGATCGCCAGGCTCGCGTGTGCCACCATCATCTCTACATCGCCTCTACCAACGAGACCAGCTCCTTATACGACGACCCTCCCTCAACCTGCCTCAGCCTGCAGCCGCCACCGCCGGGGATACCGCGACTCCTCCATCTACTGTCCCGAGCGTCGCACATGCTGCTACTGCTGCTGCTACTGCTGTTGCTACCGCTGGCAACGGCGCCCCGAGAACCGTTCCACGGGTGCCTCAACACCGGGCAGCCACTTCTGCAGCTGGGCAGCACCCTCCACCGGCGCCGTCGATGGCGCCAACGGTGCCAGCAACTAACAACTGTCATAACTGGCAACGCTACGTCAACGGCTCCGCAGGATGGCCCATGTACCCTGTGCCGGTGTGCTGCGGCTTCTCGCCGCGAGCCACAGCACACGGCGGCGCGAGCTCGGGCGGCGGGTATGGGCCCCCGAAGCTCGCCCTGTATGGCACAGTACAGCCAGCAACGCCGTACACGGCCTGCCCTGGAGAGATAAGCGGCGGAGCTTACCACAGGCAGCTGAGGCCGACCTGGCGACCGCTCCCTGATTGCCGATCTCCGCCCGCTTGTGCTGCTGCTGCTGCTGCTGCTGCTGCTGCTGCTGCTGCTGCTGCTGCTGCTGCTGGTACGGTTCCGCCGCCACCACATGCAGCAGAGTCTCCTGGTGGGATGGCGGCGG